CTCTCCGTCTGCAGTGGGCTTGGGCAGCTCCGCGCTGCGGGGTGTTTGTAGATTGGGCTTTGGGCTAGCGGTCGTGATGGTTGATGACTCTGGGCTGTCGGTACTCACATGTGATGACCCCGGGCTGGGCTCCGCTTCGTCCACGGTGAATGCTGATCCGGCGATCCACAGTGCGAAGTTGATGTAGTTCATAAGCGACCAGCACGGATCAGCTCGGGGCATGACGAAGTGGATCTGGTCTTCCAGCCCGCACCAGAATCCCTCCATTAAGATGAGGTCATCAAATGTGGCGAGATGGCAATTGACCAAAAACTCCTGCACATAGTCCTCCAGGTCACGTCCATCTTGAAAGATGAAGATTGTAGCCCCTGAAGGTCAATGAACACTGCCCTTCGGGGCTACGTTAATTGAGGCCAGTTCTAGCCTCATCCTTTGTGGTCGGTTATTCTGTCATGGTAGGTCCAAGGAAGGCAAGGAAGATCAAGGTAATCCAAATAAATGCTTTTAATTATAATCCACACGTTACACGAAAGGTAAATACTTAAGGTAAAACGAACACATGTGACACCTAACAATAACCAACAGCAAACTGAACAGACAGGAGACTATAAATAGGGCAGATAACGAGGGGCAAACAGGTGATGAGGATCAACTAATAATGAGAAAATGAGAACAGGAACATGACCAAATATGGGCACAGAGGGAGAAAACACAACAAACAGTCCATAACTGTGACAAATAAATGACTAAAAGATTAAATAAAAGTAACAATGACAATAAATAAATGCAGTGGGGAAAATATTTATTTGATTTAAGTTTATAATCGATGACTGATCATCTTGGCACTTTCCTGTGTTTTGATCGTGTAAGGACCCATGTTGTCTATGGGAGGGTCTGAAAGCTCATCAAAAATATCTTAAATTGTGTTCCGAAGATGAACGAAGGTCTTATTACGTCTTTAATTGATTTTTCCGTACATTTCTGCCATATGTACATTAACTGACAGTCACCACTGATAAGCTACCACTAAATATTGTAGAAACTTAATTTGCTGTAAAGTTGCTTTGCAACGATTTGTATCGTGAAAAGCGCTATACAAATAAACTTTGAATTGAATTATGGGTTTGGAACGACATGAGGGTAATTAATGACAGAATTTTCTTTTTTGGGTGAACTATCCTTTTAACACTAACCTCATCATTCATTTCTAATCAGCCACCATGACAAATAAAAAACATCAAACATCCTAACAATTCATTAAACACTATAATGCCAACCATTTACTTCAAAAAATAAGAATTTTAAAATAACCACTGCCATTGGGACATACAATTTTTTGTACGCATTTCTTCTGGCTAAAGGAATTTTGAGTCTCAAAAGCAGAATGAAGGGGGTGAATATTATTTTAACAAATCGCAATTGCTGTGGAGACAGGACGCATCCCTGTGGTACCCCAGTATTTAAAACCAAGCAGTCAGACATGACATTATTAATACAAACACGCTGAGGTTGATCTCTTGAAAATTCCTTAATCCATGATATCATCCAACAACTAACACCTAAAACATAAAGGCGAGTATTACTCCTTGAGGAGTATTCTAACATACATATTTGGCTTATTTAGATAATGTTGAACTTTATTCAAATGAGTGAGAGAGGCATCCACAGTACTCCGACTGGCCCGTTATGCAAACTGCAAGGGGGTTCAATGGATCTCTCAATTTGAAATGACAAATTCCTTACACGCTATGCATTCCATGCATGCAAAGAACTGATGTGAGCGCAATTGGACGAAAGTCATTTACCAATTTTGCGTGGGGTATTTTGGGTACCGAGATGATAATGGAATTATTCCAGGCTGAAGGTACAAAATCATCCAGTGTTTCAATGGTTCAATGTCGGTTCAGACGCAAGACGAGTCTATTAAAAGTGACATGACTTCAGCTTTCTTTTTGGACAAAAAAAAAATTGGACAGACACTCACCCGCCAATGCCTCTACTCTTCTTGTTGCCAAGCAATCGGATAATGGCACCTCCTTTAATAGCTCCACATCCATTTTCTTTGCTTTGCCATTTTATGCACCAAGAGCTTGTAACACTCCAAAGAGAAAGGAAAACTTGAAATCGCATCATATGACCCCTTTAAAACTTACTCCACAATGTGAATTGCACAGTTTTTAATTCATTCGGCATCTGTGAACGGCTTTTTGGTCTTTGCCAGGTTCCAAGGCACACACATTCACCTGTATGGATGTGTTTTTGTGAAAAACAGCAATGATTGCTTGTAAGCTGCCACCAATTGTGTTACCTTCTGTTTGCAGCTCTCAAATGTTCTGGATAATTGCAGTCAAAATGACGTATTGAAATGGCATTTCATGTTAGTCTGCGTGCATAACAAATACGATGGCTTTGCATTGTGGTGGTCAGGCAAAATAAAATACATTTGTTCAGTCCATTCACATTTGAATCGTCTATTTTCCGTTTCCACTTTTCTCCACACTCATGGTGAGTGTGATTTTCACTGTCAGACTAAGCTGTCAATGATGCGTTTTAATTTTCGCACCAGTGACGTGCTTACGCCGACATTACCTTGATAACACTACTTGAAATTAGCACAGGCCGCCTATTGAGGAACTCTGACATAATATCGCATAATAATGACATACTTTCTCATAATAATGACATACTTTCTCATAATAATGAGATACTTTCCAAGCAACCAACAAAATGTCCTGTTACTAATTGTGGCTGTTGGGAAACTAACTTGCACAGAAAAAACTTTATTGCACAGCACATAGAGATGAACTGTTTAATTTGATTTCAACTGATTGTTGTGAGTGAATAAAGAAGGCAACGGAATGAAACTCTGCCCGCACGGATCACCGTGGTCTGGTTTCTTTACTGCATGGATCTTCATGTGTAGCTTCAGAATCTCTTCTCGCAGTGTGAACAGTTATAAAGTTTTTCTCCAGTGTGAATCCTATGGTACAGTTTTAAATTGATTGCCAAAGTAAAAGTCTTCCCACACTTAAAGCACATATAAGCTCTTACACCAGTATGTGTTTTCTGATGTGATTTTAAACTTTGCAGCTGTGAAAAACTCATTCCACATTAAGAACATGAATGTGGCTTCTCCTTCGTATGAACTGCCAGGTGTCTCTTCAGGGATGATGACACAAGAAATGTTTTGCCACATTGATCACAGGCGTGCGTATGTTCTCCATTGTGTATTCTCATGTGAGCATCAAAACTTTGTTTTAATGAGAAACTCTTTCCACATTGATCACATGTGAACGGCTTTTCTCCAGTGTGGATCTTCATGTGCCGTTTAAAGTTTGATGAATGTATGAAACTCTTTCCACACTGATCACATATGAATGGCTTCTCTCCAGTATGGATCTTCATGTGCCGTTTAAAGTTTGATGAATGTATGAAACTCTTTCCACACTGATCACATGTGAATGGCTTCTCTCCAGTATGAACCTCCATGTGAAACACAAGACTTCGTCTGTATGGGAAACTCTTTCCACATTGATCACATGCATACGGTCTCTCTCCAGTATGAACTCTCATGTGAATCTTAAGACTTTGTTTGCATGGGAAACTCTTTTCACATTGATCACATGCGTGTGGCTTTTCTCCTGTGTGGATTCTCATGTGAATCTCAAGAGCGTTTTTGTATGTGAAACTCGTTCCACACTGAGTGCAGGTGAAAGATTTCTCAGGTCTTCTTTTCTTAAAAAATTTATTTTTAGTTTTCGAGTGACTCAGAGGTTTCTCCTCCACTTCACTCAGTTCTTCACTCTCCTCGTTCTCTTCCATCGGGTCTGAAAAGAAAGAAAAAAAAAGTTTACCTAAACCAAAATAATTCAAAAACAGGAATCTGAATTGAAAGGACAGAAAAGTGAGCCCTGATGTAATAAAATATTACAATCATTTTGATGCATTTTCATAAAATTATTTATATGTCCCTGAAACTTTGAATGAATTAGGTACATTGATCATCCAATTATTTTTTTAAAGCATTATAGGCTCATGTAGTGTAGTGTTTCTGTAGTTAGAACTATTAAATATTTTTGATCAATGACACAATTAGGGTAAATGTACGCACACTTCCATTTTTGAGCTCAGATTATAAAAAGAAAAAATAATGTATTATCATACTTGATGTCTTAACCAATTGATTTGTTTGTTACTACATACCTCCTGTAATTTTGGTAGATATGGGTATTCATGTGTTCACACTGTCTGGCAGCCATTTTGAAAGCTGTCTGACAACTTTTACCAAAAGAGGATCCCTTTAAATGTGCATTTTTAGATGTTTAAGCCTTTATTTTGGGTAAGTTTCTCTACTTACTGTAAAATTAAGAGATTACTGTTTAGTCTTTTGCATATTATAACCTGGAACTTGGATATGGGAAATAATTACAGTTAGATCCAAAAAAAAAAGTTTTAGCAACATAGCACAGATGCTACAGAACACAGTTAGCTGACTAGCTGAATAAGATTGTGTGACTTGTACTTTTAAATCCATGATATTATAAATTTACATTTTATTGCTGGTCTGTGGTTTTATACTGCTGTAATTTTTTTAAGATTTCATAACCCCAAGACTTTTCACACGGGTAGAAAAATTTACAGCAATTGTCAATAAACAAGGTAAAGGATTGAGTTTTAGATCAAACAAACCTAGAACCTACATGGAGGGTTTCTGTTTTATTGGTATTTAACTTTAACCTGGAACTTGGATATGGGAAATAATTACAGTTAGATCCAAAAGAGTTTTAGCAACATAGCGCAGATGCTACAGAACACAGTTAGCTGACTAGCTGAATAAGATTGTGTGACTTGTACTTTTAAATCCATGATATTATAAATTTACATTTTATTGCTGGTCTGTGGTTTTATACTGCTGTAATTTTTTAAAGATTTCATAACCCCAAGACTTTTCACACGGGTAGAAAAATTAACAGCAATTGTCAATAAACAAGGTAAAGGATTGAGTTTTAGATCAAACATACCTAGAACCTACATGGAGGGTTTCTGTTTTATTGGTATTTAACTTTTAAAAAATTATTTGTCATCCAAATATTAATGTCCTGCAAACATTTAGTAAGGTCAGGAGGGGGATGAGAAACATTAGGTCTTGTAGAAATATACACTTGTGTGTCGTCAGCGTAAAAATGGAAATTAATACCATAGGAACGAAAAATACGACCAAGAGGTAGAATATAAATGATGAATAAAAGCGGACCCAACACTGACCCCTGTGGAATGGCATGAGTAACTGAGAAAGGATCTGAACATGTATTCTTAATCTGCACAAACTGTTTTCTGTCACTTAAATAAGATGAAAACCAAAGAAGCGCATTATCAGCTATTCCGATGCAAGCCAGCCGTTCCAATAATACTGAATGACTAATAGTATCAAAGGCAGCACTAATATCTAAAAGAATAAGAATAGACAGAAGACCAGAATCAGTAGCGAGAAGATCATTTATAACCTTAACAAGAGCTGTTTCTGTACTATGTTTGGGTCGGAAACCTGATTGAAAATGCTCGTAAATGTCATTACTTTGCAGATGTGATTCAAGTTGAGCTGCTACTGTTCATTTCAAGTGTTTTTGAAATAAAAGGGAGACTAGAAATAGGCCTGTAATTATTTAGATCATTAGGATCAGCACCAGTCTTTTTAAGAATTGGAGTAATAGAAGCCATTTTTAATGACGGAGCAATGAATGAATGAATGAATGATGCATATATATAGCATTTTATTGTGTATTGTTGTACACCCAAAGCGCTTTACAATCATGTCAAGTACATAATCTAATTGCCAGACATACAGCATTCACAATGATTGCTGGTCCTACAGTCAGTAATCACACACTCATGGCCGGTCATACAGATGGTAATCATACAGATTCACTGTTATGGCCGTTCATACATACAGCATTCACACTGATGGCTGGTCATACAGTCAGTAATCACACGCTGATGACCAGTCATACAGATGGTAAACATACAGATGGCCGGCCATACAGCTACAACATGAAAAATATGTAGAAATTCACAAATAATTATCTTTTCGATCAACAAGAATAACAAAATAAAAAGCCGACACAGCTACACTCCAGACAGATGACAGGTGCGTCACAGTGCGCGTCATGAGCAAGTCACAGCCTGAATGCAAATAAAAACAAACTCTTCCACGTGAGGAATATAAACTTGCCATATATTGTTAGTATCGTGCACTCACTGGCTACAAAACCATGTTGCTTTTTACTACCAAGACGCCGTTTTTTGAGTGCAAGTTATTCCGTAGCGGATACAAACAATAACAATCCCCGAAGAAATGTGACGTAAACAAAGGAATAATGATCCATATTACAACGTTATTGTTTCGTTGGACTAAAAGTGACATATGGGATGTTGTTCAGTGGACCCACGCCTTTCTAACTAAACCGGGATTTACAGCAGTGGATGCGTTTGTGACTCGTTATTACGATGAATCTGGTACATACTGCGTTTTTAGTATGCATGTTTTGATGTGTGCTGCTTGCACAAATTTAGCAAATACATTCCTTATAAGCTTTCCATCGAAAAACAGCTATCTATCATCGATGTTTGAGGCTTAGACCTTTAGAATAAGTTACGATGAATCTGGTACATACTGCGTTTTTAGTATGCATGTTTTGATGTGTGCTGCTTGCACAAATTTAGCAAATACATTCCTTATAAGCTTTCCATCGAAAAACAGCGATCTATCATCGATGTTTGAGGCTTAGACCTTTAGAATAAGTTATAGTTTGTCAAGATTAATTATGTTCCTTTTCATTTAATCTATTCGTAAACATTGACACGTGCAAACAAAGAGTGTTTCAGTGTGCTGGCGTCCAGGTGCGGGTTAACAGGTTAAAATATCCAGATATAAAAAGAGAGTAGAACAAAATACCGGTGAGTAGCGGCAGCCAAAACGCACCAGCGTTCACTTAACCGGAGTCTCATCGATGTTTGAGGCTTAGACCTTTAGAATAAGTTATAGTTTGTCAAGATTAATTATGTTCCTTTTCATTTAATCTATTCGTAAACATTGACACGTGCAAACAAAGAGTGTTTCAGTGTGCTGGCGTCCAGGTGCGGGTTAACAGGTTAAAATATCCAGATATAAAAAGAGAGTAGAACAAAATAGCGAGTGTGATAGTGAGTAGCGGCAGCCAAAACGCACCAGCGTTCACTTAACCGGAGTCGCTTGATTTTTTTTGTTACTTGATTTTAGTGTTCTGCTTTTTTGTGATTGACTTTGTATCTTCAAATAAAATATTTTTCATTTATTCTTTAAAAAGGTTGTTTAAAATAAACAAGAATTTTTAATAAAACATGATGTGCGCTAATTGAGTTTAAAGGGTACAAAAATTTACCCATTAAGCACAGCCAGACATTTTGCATTTAATGATGTATGTCTTAATTGAAATGCTTTTGTCATTTAAAATCAAATTAAATATTTCTGTGTAAGAGATTAATATTTTACTTTAACATAACTTCTTGTACTGAAACCAATATCTTGTGCACTAAAAATGTCTCAATGTAGATTTTGGTGAGCTTGTACGTTTACCCTATCTAATATAATATTAACAAACAAAACAAAAATACTACCATTTTGACACCATCTTTTAGATTGATATTAAGGGTTAGTCACGCCACACATTTCATCCGCATGTGAATGTGGGAGACTGAAAACAAAAGCTCAAGTGAATTTCACTGCATTCCAAGTTCAAGTCTGGGAAACTCTTTCCCAAAAAATGTCGACAAATATTTTTGTTGTCAAGTAGTCGTTTGATCTCATGTGACCTAATGTAGTCCTGCAATATCGCGATTTGACCACTAAGGCGCTGTGAGTGAGGGCTCCAGACTAATTTTACTAGGAGCACTGTAGCCCCGGACTGAACATTTTTAGGAGCACAAGCAGAAAATTCAGGGGCACACCTTAAATCACAGGGCTCGCAAAATTTCAAAATCCGTGATAGCCCTTCGGGCAGGCATTCTTCAGATTTCGGTAGCCCAAAAATGAATTTAACTAGCCCGAATAAAAGATATTGTATTATTTCTTTAATAACAAGTCAAGAGAGTAGGGGTGGAGCGGATCACAAATCTCACGGTTCGGATTATATTACATTATCATATCACATTTTGAATCACAGATCGGATCATTTTTCAGATGAGAAAAAAAAATATGGTTCTTTATTACAGTGTAATAAGTAACACTTATTATTTAAAAAACAATTTACTACTGCGATACCACAGCAAAAACTAGTAGCATATAGGGATGTAACGATTCACTCAACTCACGATGTGATATGATTCCCAATACGAATTTCACAATACAATTTTCTCACAATATTAACAAAATTAGATTTAAGACAGATTTTTAAAAAAGGTGTCCTTTTGTTATTTCTCAGACCAAAAGGCTTCACATTACTTTGTGAAACTGAAAATGTCAAACAATATACTAACTTGAGATTTTAAAACAAATCCCAAATCAAATAAATAAATAATACAAATAAAAGAATCTCCATGCAAGTAAACTAAGGTTTTGCCTGTGTATTAGGGCTGTGCGATTAATCGAAATCGTCATAAAATCTAAATTTATAGCATGAATTAACATGGATTGACATGAAAATTTAGTAATTACACCATAAATGCATATAATTAAAGTCTACTGTTTCACAGTCAACACATGGCTTTTTGGCTAGATTTAAAACAAGGAAAAGTGCACTTATAGATAAACAAGGCAATAATAGATGGCTCTCGTGGTGGTAGTTAAAC